CAATAGTATGTTCAATATATATATATAATAATTTCTAGGGCACACTTTAGGCTGGACACCCCCACTACTGTACTAAAGAAAGCCTCCCCCCATGTTTTATGATAGTTCGCTTATCATAACCATGTTAAACACATATAATGAGATACACATACATACACAAACTGCTTAGAACACTTAATGGCATGTGAAAATAGAGACACCTGAAATTCGAGCCATGAAAATGAATGTATGTAATCAATATAAATTAGACTTATATAAAAGTGAGACAAATGGCCTGATCTTCGACATCATATACAATGTCCCAATCATCAATAATGATTGTAGCAACAAACAGAAAGGCATTGAAGAATGACATCTTTTCATCTCCAATGAACCGGCGACACAAGTAGCGTAGAGAGAACCCAACATCATGCGAAACGCATATAGAGCTTTATCTCGTCTCCTCCTCAGATTTCCTGTTCTATTAAGCTGCGGCCTTCATACTGCGGCTATTGGATGATTCGGATACTGTCTTTTGACTCTGGGAATATCTGCTCCAACTGGAATCAAGTAGTAAATAGTACTTTCACTGTACAGCAACTGTACTGGTATCTAGGCAAGTCTCTATCCCATTAGGGACCCACAATTGTCTTTGAGCCACATTAAGCTCTAGCACTGGTAGCTGTTTGACGGCACAATCTCCCACATTTTGGAGATTGTCAGGAACCTTCACAGGTGTTATCTGGTGGGGCAACAAGTTGGTTCTGGTGGTTGGATGGTTATGGAATGTTGGTGAGACTGTGATAGCTTCTGCCAGCTCTTCAGAGAAAATATACATCCCAAGCATATGTAAAAACTGAGACATTTCCAGATTGCCTTGAAAAGTGAAAGTTATAACAGGCAACAGATTAACACATCTGGCATCTTAGAAGCTGGCAAGGTAGAATAGCGCGCTTAGTTGCGACACTTCAGGCGTTGGTACAAAAGAAACGTTCCCCTGTATACTGGGGCGTCAAGGAGTAAATCGGTTTCCAAGAAACCTCAAATAACTCCCTAAATATATCTCTAAGAGATATACATTTAAAAGTGGAGTTTAGTTAAAGTAACCAGAAAAGGCAGACATAATAATGTTGTCCAATACAGGCCTATATATATAGATATAAGGGACTATATATTTCTGGGCGAGTCCAAGTTTGAATTTTGTGCAGATTACAGGTAAGACAGGTTATCAGCCTTACAGACCGATGCGTAATGGCTATCATTTCACGACAGCGAATAGAATAAACAAATAAAACTGCACTGATTGGCATTCACAGAAAGAAGCAGAAATATAGAAGGACATACTAGACAACATTAAAATCAAAAGCATGCCGCTCCACATGACGACAGTGTCTTGGCGCAGGAACAGGTGTATTTAGATGCACGACAACTAGCATCCCTAACAAAGGTGTCTACATCATCCGTGTCTGTCATAGGGTTCGAACTTGCAATTAAGGAATACACACAGAGCGTCTCAAACCATTGAAACCGCACCACAGGTTTCACAGATCGAGTAATAAATACAACAACTGTTAATTACACACTGGACCATAATGGTCTGTTCAGTCTACAACAGACATTAAAAGAAAAGAGATGATTGATCTGTTCAACTTTATCGCACGGAATTAAACAGACGTTGTCTCTCTTGCCAACATCTCTCCAAGTGTTCAGCTGTATTCCAACTCCCCTGGTGCTGTCATTAGTCATTCATGAGATTATTTCTGCTCTTTTCATTCTTCTGTTCACTTAAAGGCTACAACATCACATTTTAAAAAATATCAAAACAATATACGATTCAAACAACAAAATATCTATTTAAATTTCAGTAACAATCCAAATACCTTAGGAAGAACTCGTATCTTGCATGACACTGGAACATTCAGCTCATTGACTAAGGTTGACAAAATCTGCAGACAGAATAATCACACATATAACTTGTGGATTGGTCACTTGGCATTATTAAGCATGCTGATACCTTTTAAGTACTTGGGTACTTTAAGTACATGAGCACCCTGATAACAGAAGACAGAAGATGTTTTAAAGAAGTTAAATGCCCAAGCAAAGGCAGCATTTCACAAAATGAAGAATATTCTATGCAATGGTTGTCAGTTGAGGTGACAAAGATAAATCTAAAGAGGGACATAAATCATATCCTGATATATGGAAATGAATTACTAACAGTTCGCTAAAACGTGAAACATTATGTGGAAGTGGCAGAGATGTTGTTTTATAGATTAATGATGAGAATACCCTGGACAGATAGAAACAGAAATGAAGAATTTCAACAGAATCTGACTTCCCACACCAGAGTAAGACAACTGATATTCTTTGGTCAAGATAAGGAAAAACTGGAGTACATCGTTATGGTGGGAAAGCTGGAGACGGAAAAATAAAAGGGAAACAGAGAGAGAAAATTCTGACATCATGTCAAGCAAGATCATCTGTGTCAGAACTGACTGAAAGTGCCTGAGACAGAAGGTTGTAGATAGACATGACTACCAACATCATTCGGTATGGACTATATATATAAGAAGAAGACTTGGCATAAGTGGGCAAAAACACAAACATAGTCTTAGGCCGCGGTTAGCGAGTGAGATGGCACACTGTATCTGCACATGGTCATCTGCTTGGTATGTAATAACATTTCTGGGTAATTTCATTTCACAACTGTCTGTCTCATGACAACCATCATCAAGTGCCTTGCCAACCATGCCTCTCCACACCCTGTGACCTTTAACAGCATTATCAGTTCCTGCACTGACACCCCTCCATGCCATGACTAAAGGCTGTCAAGACAATCTTTTCATGTTCTATTCTTTTATGTCTCTTTTACACAGATCTCTTTAGTGGTCACATGTTCCAGTTTTCTTCTTCTAATAACATGATTAAAAAAATGCTTTAGGTGAGGTTATGCAGAATTCCTAGTTAAAGATGTTGATATTACTTGTAAGCTCACTCCCTGGGATAGAAGTAATTCAAGTAACAACAGCCTGGGACTCAAAGAGTTTAGAAACAACAGCCTGGGACTCAAGGAGTTAAGTAACAAGTCAGGGACTCAAAGAGTTCAGGAACAACAGTCTGGGACTCAAAGAGTTAAGTAACAAGTCTGGGACTCAAAGAGTTCAAGAACAACAGTCTGGGACTCAAAGAGTTCAAGAACAACGGTCTGAGACTCAAAGAGTTAAGTAACAAGTCAGGGACTCAAAGAGTTCAGGAACAATAGTCTGGGACTCAAAGAGTTCAAGAACAACAGTCTGGGACTCAAAGAGTTAAGTAACAAGCCTGGGACTCAAAGAGTTCAAGAACAACAGTCTGGTATAAACCAATAGAAAAAGACTTACTTGTTTAACCTTCTCAGGCTGTGTCAACAATGCTGCTCCCATACCTCCCTGTGGAAAAAAAACAAAAAAAAAACACTGCAGTTATGGACTGGACCACCTTTTCTGACTTAAGGCATACCGCGTATATAGTGCTACCCCACATTTTATAGACTGATCAGCACTTGACTTGCTAGGAGGTCAATACTCTCAGCTAATTTTGTTGTAAACAGTGATTAATCAGAAGTTTGCTGAAATTGGATGTGATGCACTAAATTGTGCAGATTTCACCACACAGTCATAAACCACAACAAAATGCACCAACGGCCCTTTGTTGGATATAAAGGTTGGAAGTTTTTATTCCTATAATCAATATATGTGTATCCATCATTATTCCTAATATAAATATATTTGTTTTCATATTTTTCCAATAATCTATTTATTTTTAAACAGTATTCTTTTTATCTTATAACAAATGTATATGAAAACAACATTTCTAAAATCACGTTATTGGTTACTAGCATTGTTCTTACAATGACATTTTTTTTAAAAGTAGGATGGCCATAGCAATGCAAAGACTGAATAGCCTTTAAAAGTCTATGGTTAAGCACCAGCAAGAAGATAATTAAAATTTTGAGAGCATGCATCTTCCCTGTGGCTACATATGGATGTGAGTCGTGGACTATCTCTCAGTCCTTAAGAAAGAGAATAGGTGTTTTTGAGCTGAAATGCTTTAGAAAGATTCTCAGAATATATTGGACAAAGAAGATGAGAAATTTTGACTTCTTAAAAGATCTGAACATCAAGGAAGATTGGCTAATAAACAGCATCCTTTCTCGAAAGCTGAAATATGTTGGTCATATCAAGCGCCACGACGGATTGGAAAAAAATTATAGCAGAAAGCATGGTACCAGGAAGGAGGGTTAGGGGCCGACCGACACGAAGATGGGCACAGGATATAAGTGACTCCTTGAGTGTGAAAGTGCATGAAGCAGGAGAACTGGCGAAAGACCGAGTTTCTTTCAGGCAGACTGTGATGAGAGCGACGTTCTGCAAAGGACCTGCTACATGATGATGATCATTATAACTAACACATATGTGATTAACTGTATTTTTATAATCAAAACACTGGCTGCCAGTACAATTCCTATATAAAGCCATCTTTTCTGGTTATGAATTTAAATGAGGACGACAAATGAAAAAGTAATTGACTGCCTGGTATATTTCGCCTCTTGTTAAGATCAGACTGCAGACATTGCATCAACATACAATGGCAAAAAAAGTGTTTGGTTTTGTGAAACACAAGGAGAAAATCAGAACAATACTAGCACTTGTAAACACTGACAGCAAACATCTGCAAAAAGTAAAAAGTATGTACTGGAAGCAAACAGCAGCTCAAGAAGCAACGCCTATTTCTAAAAATTTCACAGCACAAGATGACTATCAAACAGTTCTCTGCTCTGTTTTCACTGTACAGTGAACATATAAGAAGATCTATATAACAGGCCAGGGAGTGATTTTAAATACCTTATACTGATAACATCTTAATAGCAACAAGTCAGAAGGAACTACACACACAGATAATATTCAGACAGGAATTAAAGGGCAGGAGAAGTTTATGGCTTAGACAATAAACATTAACACACACAATATTCGTATACAATTCTAGTAGGAGTCAACTACCTTCACAGAAAACTCCTTGGGACAGCCCATGTTGACATCAACACCTGCAATGTAATCCTGCCTATAAATGGGATAAACAGAGAAATATTCAGATTACACAAGTTTGGTGATTAATTTCATTATGCACTGAATAATCTGGCTTCTCAGTCACACAGCAATTAATTTGAAAAAAAAAAAAGAACATTTAAAACAAAAGAGAAGTTCCGTTCACACTGATGACACATCAGCACTTCATGCAGTTTCAAGATCCTTATTTTGTAATTTCTTTGAATTAGACGTAAAACCAGTAACTCTCAGCCACTTCCCAAAGTGTTATATTTCTTTGCCTTAATAGGGTGGTTGGCATGATGTGTTGTAGTTTACAGCTGGGTTGTAATATATCCGTGTTTCGGCCAAACACATTTGATTCAGCATATCTGTATGAATCATCGTATACAGCCCGTTCCAAAAATCACACCCAACTTTAAACGTCTGTAACTCAGTAACCATTTGGTGTAAGTAGTTGAAATTTGGGTGTGCAACCTGTTAATAATTATACCGTTGTAAGCATTAAAAAAAAAATGTAAACACACATCTAATTTTCAGTTTGCCTTATTTGCAGAATATGAATAAACGGACCCAATTCAAAGCAAACAGTTATTTGAGTTATGAGAACTTTTCAAAACATCACACTGCATGCGTTTCACTATCAGGTGATCACCTTCACCATTAGCCTCCAGTTAGTTACATGCATACAATTTGTCACTGTGTGTGGGACAGGCTATCAAAATAATCACTGCTACAAGTGTGAACTGATTTCCAAACTATTTCCACGTGTGTCTCACATACTGTATGTACATCCCTAAATTAGGGGTACATAAATTATTAGTCAAACAAAGATCAGAGAAATTCACCTGTGCAATAATAAATTATAAAATCCTAAGGACATGGAAAATCTCAGGCCACACGCAAAAATGTGTGTTTATCGGTACAAGAGTTTCTGAGATATTTGTTAAAGTGGAAGTGAATGACTTTTGAAACGCACTAAAGAATGTCTGCAAGTGAGCTAGAAGGAAGATGTCTACAACTGGGCCTGGAGAATGTCTATACTAGCTTCAGGCTTAAGCCCTTTGCCGAACTGAGATGATCTTATATCTACTGATAAGCCTTTAATAGAGCTTCTAAGTCAGCCAACTTAAAATGAACTGGTTATTATGCGAAACCACTGAGTGGGAATGAAAAAATGATGTGTTGGAAACACCAGCATTGGCTTGGTTAAGAACACACAGTTGGAAGATCTCACAATTTTGTTGTAGATATCGTTCTGCTAAGTAAAAACAATAATTACATGCTAAGAAAGAACATTATTTAGCAAACATGCATCAAAAGTTGGACAACAAATAAGTTTTGTGTAGTGAGTCATTTTCTCCCCATTAAGTTATGCCCGATAGATGACGTCAGTAATAAATGTAAGGCGAATGTTTGACTGACTGAGATAACACGAGATTTATGTCTTGAGTTTCATGAGAGACATCTGAAAGTCAGGTTTTATGTGAAACATGATTGTTCACGTGAACCATGAAGGTTGACTGGCAGGATTCGTGTGAAATGCGAATTATCACGGGCCAGACACGACAATTCGTGAGAATGAAATTATCCAGAATATTCGAGAACAGGACAGATCAGAGGGCTATATAATAGCGAAGAAAAGGTTTGTGAGGCGGTCTCGATTAGGCCAAGGGAAAGGTGTACGTGTGAAAAAGTCCGGAAGAATGTCTACGTCTGAATAGCGTGATTTCCCAATGCCTACCTGGCATAAAATAGCGGCTGACGGAAACGGTGGCCAGCTGTGAATGACTGTCGTTCTGGATGGAGGGAGCTACTGTGTTTCTTTGAATTGTGTGTGTATTCGACGATGTTACAAAGGTATGACTGACTGTTTAGAGCATTGATGAGTGATATTGTTGTATATAGACATTTACTGACTGCAACAACAGCGAGTGAAAATAAACAGTACGTGTAACTTCTGAACGTCTGCCAGCGTCCATGTTTTCTCGTTCTTGTCAGTCGGTGAATGGAGAGATGCAGTGACTCATTCGAGCCAGCAATAAATAACAATGAAGATTATAATGAAGACACCAATAATGGATCAAACAGATGTAATACCAGAGACAAAAATCCAAAGAAACAGATATATCACCAAACAGGCAGTAAAATGAGAAATGGAGAAACTGGAGATGTCAGGACATCAAAAAGAAACCTTGAAATTTATGTTAATGAGAGAGAGAGAGAGGCCAAAATTGGACCAGATTCCATCCATGTCAAAGGGATTGCACAGGACAGAATAGAACAGTGGAATAGACTATGTGACCTGCTAGCGCACAAAAGGACAATGCTGTATGCTAAAAAGACAGTTTCAAGTTCACATGTACTTACAGCTTCCTTGCTGCTGCTAAAGATCTTTTTCCATCGCTGGTACCCTGGAGAAATTATATGATTACACTTTAATATGCCTGAATATGTCTCAGAAATTCAGCATCCTGTCAAAATGTTTGGTTCTTTCCCATACCTGGTCTCAGCTGCAGTGATGTATCGACTAGATACTCACCTTACGGTCTGAAAATAGTGGTTTCAAATAACTCCTTGGTTAAAATGGGTATCTGGTAAAGTCCTGGAAAGTAAAGGCAGCCGGTGCTGCCAGAAAGTGCCAACTGGTCTAGCATCATATGCTTGAAGGGCAACTGACCCAAAAAAGGGCCAGATATCAGTGGTCCAGTATTCTACGACTTTTTGTCTAGATCTCATCATGCTAAACACTAATTACTGGACATCAGTGGTCCGGTACTCTACAACTTTTTATCCAGACCTCAACATTCTCAACACGAACTACTGGACATCAGTGGTCCGGTACTCTACAACATTTTATCCAGACCTCAACATTCTCAACACGAACTACTGGACATCAGTGGTCCGGTACTCTACAACATTTTATCCAGACCTCAACATTCTCAACACGAACTACTGGACATCAGTGGTCCGGTACTCTACAACATTTTATCCAGACCTCAACATTCTCAACACGAACTACTGGACATCAGTGGTCCGGTACTCTACAACATTTTATCCAGACCTCAACATTCTCAACACGAACTACTGGACATCAGTGGTCCGGTACTCTTCAACTTTTTATCCAGACCTCAACATTCTCAACACTAACTACTGGACATCAGTGGTCCGGTACTCTTCAACTTTTTATCCAGACCTCAACATTCTCAACACTAACTACTTGATCAGAGAAATGCAGGCCGTATTCTGAGCATGAAATAAAAAGGGGAAAATGGAAATACATCACGACAATGAAAAAGCTGGAAGGGGTTAAACGGAGACCAAGGCATGCTACATAATTCAGCAGTATGGCATGCTGGACCAAATGAATCAGAAATGACTTGCAGTGCTTGAGAATAAAGATTGCGGACAGACATGATCTTCGACATACAGTCTGGAAAATAAATAGAAGCATTATCGACTACATATTTCTAAAATATTCCCAAGCTGCAGGTCTGAAGGCTACAATGAAATCAATGTTTTAGTAATGAATAACTACAAAAAGCATTTCTAACACTCTGTAAGTGCAACTGTATGGTTTAGCAGTTAGTGTATGAGTTTAAAAAAATGTCCTGACCCTCGAGAACTAGGGCTTGATTTCCGCCATGGGGTGGTTGATTAACCCTTTCAGCTCCAAGCAAGACATTGTGTGTCCAGGATATGACTCATCTAGACGTATTATATATTTTTTTAAAAATATTTAGATATCCTATGTTTAGTTGTGCAAGCTTAATCAACCCAACAACACGAGTCATCCACAATGTGCTGTGCATATGGACCCCCCCCCCCCCCCCTTCCAGGATACAGTATACCCATGCTTTTGTTGTCACCATTATTGCTTCAATTAGGCATTAGCTACAATCTTCTGTATCTGATAAAATGTAAAACACTATAAAATAAAAGACAAAAATATGCTATTTTTGTCTTCAAGTGGTGGTATGAGAGTCACACCATGGCAGAGATCAAGATCACCACACAATATTCCCCAAGACTGCAGCGGGTTCACTGTGGTCAACCTTCATTTTGGGGATGGCACAAAATAAAGAAATACCCTATAAAAATAATACTTACAATCTGCAAAATAAGTTTGCCTTTCTCCGCTGGGCAAGTTCGGAAAACAACGGTCCCGTCAGATAGCATGAAGTCTGTTGTATGAAGGATCTCTGTCAAGATAAAGTTTTAGTTACAGCCAAATTGACATCTGTCACAGAAATATAAGTATGCCTGAATTAATTAAAATTAGGTTCAAGATAAAATCAAGAGGAACGATATGATGATCCCACATAGCTTGGGCCATCCGCTGAGAGAGTCAAACAAAGCACAAATCCTACAGCTCTGGTGACAATCCATATGGACCTCTGCATCTTCTTCTTCACTTCCTCTTTTATCATTTAGGGAACAATGTAAATAAACGGCCCTGCTTCTTGTTGTAACATCATACTGTTATAGATTGTCTCTAATACCCTGATGTTGGTCTATATTGTACTCTATGTCCCTCTCCTCTTTTGACTTATGCCTGGAATGGTTTAGTGTCACAAGCCATGATGTTGATCTATTGAATAAACAATAAAGCATTCTAAGTCAGCAAATTATTTTATCTGCTTTCATTGTATGTCATTTAGGATTAGTTCTGTGCTGAATTTTTCTCTTATGACTTCATTCATGATTTTATCTCTTCTAGTCACTCAAGCAGCCTTTCTCAGACATCTCATTTCTATGGTTACTAATTTTATATAACAAATTTACACAGCTAACGAGAAACCACAGAGTATTTGTATAACCATCATCACTAGTATATTTAATTATTTCTAGTCCTGATTGTATATAATAAAATAACATCATTTTTAAATTCAAAACCAAGGAATGTAATCGCTCTTCCATGTCTGCATGCTGACCTCCATGTTGATGTCTTTAACATAATCAGTGGATAGCTTCATAAAATGACATATGGGGCATATCTACTTACGGTTCTCCTTTTTCTCACACAGCAAGATCTTTCTGTCAATCTGCTCCTGAGAACAAACAAATATAAACAGTCATTTCAAGAATAGTATGTTACAAAAGAGAGACAATTCAGCTAAAAGACCAAAAAGTACTGGGATCTACAAGTGACAATATATCAGATTAACAACAGTTAAAATCACATGAAACAAAATCTTCGAATGGGTTTCGGAGCTCCATTGTGACGGGAAAAAGAACAGATGCACTGCCTTCTAACAAACATTTGGTAAAAGTTGACTAATTAGGAATGTTTCCTTCACAGTTGGATTACATCTGCATGAGAGGCAAGGAACCAACAGCCTCCCAAAATAAAATAAGCCAGATCTGTTAAATAGATGTGCAAACAAATCTCATGTTCTGAAAAGACCAGTCTGGAAGTGGATGAACACCCAGAACTTTCCACAGAAGTCTACAGCCGGTAAATGTGAAGAAGAAATGAAAGAAAGATAGGGCAGATCAACAAACTGTGGCAATACTTCATACAGAATGAACAGAAAATACAAGCACAGCCAGTCCTAGGAGCAGCAGACAAAAACACTAATTTTCATGGAATAAATTTGTCTCAAAGATAAAATAAATCAGTATAATATGAATGGGATGACAAAATCACTATTTGCTAATCCCTGTTTGGGGAAAACAAGAACAGACTCACTGCCTCCCCAACAAGCTTGCTGTAGGAGTTGACTAATTGGGGGCATTCTTCGAAGTCAGAGTACATCAGAGTGAAAGGTAAGGAACCAACACTCTGCACACAATTAAGTCAGATCTGTTAAACAGATGTGCATGCAACACTGAGATTCTGGAAAAAGAATAAAGTCCAGAGGTGGATAAACAACCAGAACTTTCTGCCAGTGAATGTGAAGACTCTCTGCTACTTAAAGAATCTGACATTAACAAGAATATGTTGCAAAGGGATCAATTAATTCTTTAAGTATATATTACGTAGAGAAACATGGTAACCATCAGATGCTACAAAAGATAACAGACTTTTGTTGCAAGTGATTTCATGTAATAATGTTGAGAAGCATACCTCACTGTAAACTAAATCTGCCCCGTAATCCAAGGCCAACAGTCTCATGGGCAGAGCACACACCCTCACCATCGGTGCTAAGATCACCTTGTTTCGGTACAGATCTTCTTGTTTCATCTTTTTTGTTTCAATTTCCAGTTCTTTCACAGATATCTGCTGAAACAGGATGGGGATAACAATAAATATTAGTCTAAATACATTTAAGAAACCCAGCAATAAAGCAATATATAGGTTTTATTCATGTAACTGCTATGTTGAAATGAGTGTGAGTAACTTAACTGACAGCCTTGGTATACATCATGATAAATACTGTTCCACACTTCAGGTAGAATTACCCCCTCCCTATAATGGGTAAAGACCAAGATATTCACATAGTGATCTTGTGCAAGTTCGAAAGTACTCAGGTTAATTTAAATGCAGACAGATAGTATTATATACAGAATGTGCGGTGTGGTATAGTCGTAGTTTCAACTTCACTGAAACTGGGTCACCTCACAATTGCTCTGTCCCTGTACCAGTGGAAATCAAATGAAATGTCTCTCAGTCCCAATTGAAAAACCAGTAAAACAAACCGTCCTGGCAAAGTCCAGAAATATGTGCATTCTTTGAATGCATTCCGCTGTTACCAGTGGCATCAAAGCCAACAGTCGCCACCAGAAATGCAGTTTGTCACTGACGGAAGTAGTCGGTCATGATAACTGGCCATACACAAGCATAATTATTACATAAGGTATTTTGCCAGCCCACAGGTAAACCAGCTATATGCCATAATGAATACCACAACACAACTGCTGCACAAATAAAAGGCATTCCACATTTAAAAAATAATTAAAAAAGCTAACAGTGCTGCAACAAGCACTTAACTTAGTAGTTTAGGCAGCAAAATCTTAGACTTCCGGCCATATTGTTTTAGATGCAGAACTTTCAACAGTGATATGTGTCATATGTAAAATTTGCTGTGATATGTAAAGAGTTGTCAAAGCCAGGTCTCGGTGACAGTGTGGGCAACACAGGCATTTATGTCCATGTTGACAGGTCATAAAAGTAATCATTTTGCATCTGTCTTGAGTCCCAAAGGTAGCGGGGTCGTTTAGAGAACGAACCGCCAGGGGATTGTCACTGCACATCACATAGGTGTATCTGCGTGGTCGGGTCTGATACCAACTGAAAACTGTGAATCTGCAACCATGGTCAGACTGCAAGAACAACATGTTAAACGGGGTGTCGCCAAACAAGAACACTACGCGGGTGGTCAAAGAAGAAGAATAAACCAACACAGAACTGGTGTGGGATTTACTGAGGAAGGGATCAGAGCACTTATGGACTGAGTTGTTCGACGTGCAATGAGGATAATCTGTCAACTAACTAACTATATATGCATACATACACTTAAACATACTAGTAATAGTTGTGACAACAATTAATAATATTTAACAGTTCGCAAACACTCATATATCAAAATATAGAGGGAAATCTTGGTAATCTTAGTTTCAGCTTCATAGCAAACGAGTCACGAAAAACACACACAATGTTCGTCGCAGCCCCTTGTGGAAAGATTGTCAGACTGCTGTCTCAGCATATGCACTAGTATACACACGCATTAAAAGCATATGGTAGCCATCAGAAGTGCTAACACAAACAGTTTGACATTAGAAATGCAGTTCATCAAATGCAGCTGCGCACACGATCAATGTTAATCAAATAGGGCACCACCAATATTGCGGCGACAGGCCACGCGCCATTTTCTGAATCTACAGTTCACAACACCACGTTGATCACAGTCGTAGAACATTCCAAATGAAATCTGCAGCTCACAGGGTCACGCCATGCACTCAACTCAGTAGCTGGCTCGACAAAACTGTATCCTTTCAGTCTACAAATGGATAAAAAATGCAATGGCCACAGTCTGGCAGAAAAAAAAATTTACCTCGGCTCGAAACAGTAATCACGCCTAGCGTCCATTTTGACCGGAAGATCTTAAAGAGGAAAAGAAAGGTACATGTACACCAAAAAAAAAAAAAAAAACAGAGATAAAGAAGAAGAGGAGGAGAGAGAGATCACTAAATGACTCTGGTCTGGTAGTCTTAGTTTCAGCTTCATAGCAAACGGGTTGCCCCATCTTTGCTCCGCTCCTGTGCCAACAAAAAAGACTAATTCGACAAGAGGAAAATGTTTAAGCTGTATCCCATATACCTCCAGATCTCTCCGTAGATGGCTAGACACCTGCTGAAAGCACCACTCAAAGAAACACCCAACTAGTTCATGACTAATATGCAAATTATTATTTATTTATACAGTAGTTTATTTAAAATTACACCAGGGAGAACTAGCAGAAGACAATAAGACTTCGACAGGACACAGGGAAAGGAAACACCATATGAATGGAAGAAAGAACTCCCACGAAGCCCCACTAAGCCGGCCGAAGCTGTCCAGCTTACCGGCCAAATTTGCCAGTAGAGCCGAAAGAACCAAATGTTAATGATCAAAAGAAAAAAAGTTATACTAGTTATAGTTTTATTATATAATAAATAATAATGTTGTCCCATTCATTTAGGCAGTGTTAGACTTGTAAACAGCAGTAGTAAAAATGTAACATGATGGTTTATTTGTAATTTATTCTCTCTGTCTCTGCTGGACTCGCACGCACACCTGAGCTTCAGAATAACTTGCGAAATCGAAAGTAAAGTGAGTGTCAGGGCATAAACAAACTATGATTGCAGCATACCGCTCTGTGGCGGGGGAAAATGAAGAGGTTGGTTTGACAGCCACATAAACTTGATAAACAATCCCAACTTTTTTAATTAATACAAGTTTTATCCAGACAGTAACTTAGTAATAGTATGTTTGAGTGAGAAACCAACCTGGTAGAAGAACACGGCTCTGACACAGACATCTGTTCACGTCTGCTAGTAGCTTCCGGTTCCGGAAAGGGAAATAACTGGCTGGCTGAGATGAGATCACAGCTACAAGAGGAGGATAACAATGGGCGACTTTGAGATAGAAGACGTCCTGTATTTTATTATTTCAAAGGGGTGTCGTGTCAAAAATCACGAGCTCGTGACGCATTTCAGAAATTTTTTGAATCACCCTGTTAATAAGGGTAATTATTATTTTTAATCTCAATATAAGAAGTAAATTTGGAGTGGCTTAATTTAAAATTTGCGGTTAAAATTTTGAGTTTACATTTGAATTCAAATAAATAAAACCGATTATAAATATTATTATAATTATATTGTATATATATTATCCCGTTTGCTGTATGTTTGACTACTGTCAATTGTATGGCAAAGTTTGTTTGCAAAAGTAAAAGTAATATTAGTTATTACCTTTAAAAAAAAAGGCTCAGTCCACATACAAATATTATTGGAGGGGGGGGGGGGGTGGTGTGAGGGCCTTAACAACATTGTTTAAGTGCTTAATAATAATGTGCTGAATGGCAAGTACTTTTTACAGGATGTTGCAGAACCATCCCCAACATTTTTGGCTGTTTATGATTTCACTGGGCAATTTTACGCTCTGTAGTTTGCTCCTGCCTTTGCTCAGCTAGCTCTCTATATCACTGTTGAAACCAATGCTAGGTGGTCTGTTGCCAAATCACCCGCAGCTGGAGTCAAACATGGCATCTCAGATGTGTGCATGCAGCCATAACCCACAGACACCACCCCCCTTCCCCCCAAGTAAAGAAAATGACACTTTTCAGACTACTATTTCAACCAATTCCCCCCCCCCTCCCCCTCCCCACCCCCTTGCTGCCTTGTGCATCAGACTTACAACGAGAACTGATATACATGGTGGGGAGTGCGGGGCACTTAGTTCTCTTACAATGTGTGGTGTTGATTGAAGGCTCACAGGGTCTGAGTTCCAAATTTCCTGCTCCTATCAAAGGAATTGTTGTTGGTAATATTTGTAATTATTGTTGTCTTTTTACTTGTTAAATAGTTCAGAACCGGGACAAGTTCAAGAATTTTGTCAATGAGCTGGCCACAGTTAAAATTGATGAAGTAAGTATTTTTACAGTAGTGCCAAAATATTTGTGAAAGTCAGTGAAAGAAGCTAAAACTGCTAACAACTGACACTTAACCTCAAATGTCAGATCAGAACTTCAGTATGTATCAGACACATAAGGAACAAAACACAATTTCTGATACATTTCAAGCATTATTGGATACTGAACAGTACATGACTGCAGTGTTATGACAGAATCATTAGTGGGTAGCTCAGTGGGGAGAACTAGACAATGAGACAAATTCCAGGAAATTAGAAGATGAGGAAAATTTGTTTGCTCTAAATACAACATATTGAGGCAACTGCCTGACTACTTTGACTCCCCAGTGCTTTCACTAATGCTGGCGCCCCTTTACTTCCCAGGAAATTATTTGATGCCCATTTTAGGCTAGATCAACCTGGGAGCCGTCAGTTAAAAAAAAATCCACCTTAATGCAGATTTGAACCCTAGACCTTTGGGTCGGTAGAGGAGCATCTAGCCACCTACGCTGTCACAGCTGTCGGTGACATAGGAATGACTGAAAATAACTATGATATTCAATCTGGCTCCCCTCCACCTCATATTGGCCTAGGAGTTCATTTTGTGTGTGTGTCGAGGGGGGGGGGGGGTAAAAATAAAAACAGACTTAGTTCCCCTTAACAGGCATGTTGTAAATAGTGGTTAATTTGGGGTTTGCTGAAATCAGATATGTTGAATTGGATAGCATAAATATCACAGTCTAGTTGTAAACCGCAACACAATGTGCCAGTCACCCTTTTAAAGTGTGAACACAGTAGAAGAATCTGGGTTTCAAACGCCTCTTTCTGTTTCTTCTTTTCTTGCTTTGTTACCCTCAGTTTTCAGTTGTTAAATATTTATTCAAGGCATACACCAAAAGAGGAGAGGAATGTTGCACATAGAGCAAGAAGTAGACCAAGAACAAGATGGAAGGATTACATCAGAAAAACTCTACAGTACAACGATGTGTCTTTGGTCGAAGCAGCCGGAAAAGCATGAAGCAGGACATTATATCTCCCTCGACACCTGAAGCGGTAAAAGAGGATGTAAAGAAGAAGAAGAAATATTTAGTTTTTGGCCCTGTTATAATAATTATTATTTCATCTCATTTTTGTTTTTATGTTTTAGGGGGACAAGGTTCTAGTGCTAAAAAAGAAATATCGCCCCCCATCAGAGAATTGTGATACCACATCAACAGCTCCACCCCTATTCCCAGCACCTCAGACTGGATCCAGGTCAGCTGGAGCATGGGTTCCCAAGAAAACTGTTAGGTCTGAACCAGACTTGTCAACAGTGCAGTCATCAGCGTTATCGGCAATGCCACCTGCTGAGGTTGAAGACAGACTTGCACAGAACGATTCCCTCAGAGCACAGTCGGAACCACCGTCTGGTAATTTTTATTTTTTTTCCTGGTCACCCGGGTCATATGTAGGCTATGTGCAACATTTTGCAGCTGTGTTATACTATATCTGTGAGGTATAATACTATATATATATATGTATAGTTACTTAGTCGACAGATTATCCTCACTGGGTATCAAACCATTAAATCCATAAGTGCCCGGATCCTTTCCTTAGTAATCTGGTAATCCTAGTTTCAGCTTCATAGCAAACGGGTCACCCCACATATGCTCCGCTCCTGTGCCAACGAAAAACAAACGCAGCTCACAGTGTCATGCCATGCTCTCAACTCAGAAGCTGGGCGACGAAACTACATCCTTCCAGTCTACAAATGGAGCAAAAATTCAATGGCCACCGTCTGGAAAAAATAAATATTTGCCACGGCTTTTAAAAAAAAAAAAAAAAGGGTGGCCGTACCTAGCGTCCATTTTGACCGGAAGAATTATATGAGGGTTAATAAACGGTCACCCCAGCAGTACCCTCATTATTAGCTGGGGAAGGGACTTAGGACATTACATCCACCAGCAGGCGTCGCCCCTACAACGACCTGCCTGCCATCGTTAACGACTGTTCACCCAACAGCCATGCAGTTCTTTGGCACGAAGGAGACACCTTGAACTTAGGTTTCATACTGCCGACTCCCTACTAAGTTTTTATTTTATGTTCTGTTATCACAATTAATGTCACTGCACATTGGGCATACCCATGCGTGCTCAGTTCTCCGATGCAGCAGCCACTCTAAAGTACTTCTACTAATTGTCCCCATGAGAAGCTGGTTATATTGTCTCCTTTCTCGGCCTCGAAGACGGCAAAGACGTGCATCACCATGCTTAACTCCCATGTCACGCAATCGTGTTAGTGTCAGGGATTCCTCATTCTCCACTAGCCCAGTTCGTACAGCGTTGACTATGTCTGCTCTGTCCATACTTTTTCCCGCAATCATTAGTGCAGTGCTTGCCAGTTGGTCTGCTCGCTCATTTCCCTTCACGCCCGCATGACCCGGTGTGTAGATCCAGGTTACGGAGGTTAAGTGCGATTTCCTGATGCTTTCTATCCATTCAGAGCGCATACTGCCTGTTGCTATCTCCTTAGTAATCCCCCCAGCATGTAACGGATGATGACATCAGTTCTGTTTTGGTTTCTTATTCTTCTTTAGCTTTCTGCATAGTGCTTTTCCCCCCCGGCAACACCCCTTTTAACATGTTGTTCCTGCAGTCTGGTTATGGCTGCAGTTTCATAGTCATCACTAGGTTCTCGTAAACGTCTTACTTCTCATAGAGCATTCAGAGTATCTGCCTAGTCCATGGCTCTTCCGCCCTCCACTGTAGCTTCACCTGCAAGCCTGTCAGCCTGCTCATTTCTCTATTTACGTTGCCAATTTCCTTGCACGTCTGCATGCTTCGGCACAAATATGAAACTAATATGTGTGAGCCCCGACTGTGTTAGAGACTCCAACCACGGTCTTTGAACCCAGTCCTTCTCTGTCTTCCTGAGCATACTCTTTGAGTCGCAGAGAAAGCATGCACAGTTGAAAGTTTGTGTCTGCAGCCATGTTATTGCTTGCCTGTATATACATACACACAGGCATGTGTGTGTATATATATTTAATGTTAAGTTATATCTCTAATATGATGTGTTATGCTGTATCCCTAATGGGTTACACTATATCTCTAATTTATGTTTTATCTCAAAGGTGTTACTGGGAACAGTGACACAGATTTGGACAACCCTGATGGTTTAACAATGTCAAAGGTCAGGAGTGATGAATCTTTGGAAGTGGTCTTAAGGCATACAGACAGGTTACCTGCCCCTGTTGATTCAGACAGGTTACCTACCCCTGCTGAGACAGTTGAAGACACAGTCAGTACCAGAAGCATGACAGGCTCTGATATCTCCCTTGCATCTGTTGAGGTAAGAAAGATTATTATAGACACCTGTCTGGAAATTGTTTAACACTGGCATTCCCACTAGCCTCCTGAAATAAAAGCATTCAGTCTGCTCCAGTGAAAAAAAAATTTGTTTTGTTCTTCATTACCTGATTAAAGAAGATGAAAAAGAAGAGGAGGAGGTGAAGGATGAAGAAGAAAGGGGTGGTGAATTTTTTTTTGCTCTTTCTAACACACTGTAAGTTGATCTTTATTTCTTCAAGGTTGTTCTTGATGCCATTGTTCCATATTTTGCATGGTCTTCCCTTGCTATGTGTTGATTGTACTTCTTTATGGCTGTTGAAACAAAGGCATTCTCATCAGATTGCCAAACCATCTCATCTGTTGCCTAACTTCTTAATGTTAAATTTGTTTCTCTTGCTACTCACTCAGCTTGTATATGAATTTGAGTTCATTGTTGTAGTAAGTAGGGCTGAACCGAATAGTGATTTTCACTATTCGGCCGAATACAAATAGTGGGACCAACTATTCGGCCGAATACGAATAGTGTATAGTGTATAAAATATATCTAAAAAAAAAAAAACTATTCATAATGTCAAATGTACGCTGAACTTTTACTTCACATAAAGTAGCACAGAATAGTCATCTTATCTTTAGCATTCTGAGCCCTTGAGGTTTACTGCTGCAGATATCACTTGTCTCCATTCATCTCTCTGGCTGGCCTTGTCTTCACAATCTGCATCCTTCAGTGAGCCTGTGGTAACTAACTAGGATTGAGAGAATCCTAAGTACTATAACAAGTAACTAAACTTGGAAATTGTCACTGACAGCTTAGTTAATGCAGGAAAGCTACATAAGCTTTCAACAAAACCAATCGTTCTATGTTGTCAGCATTAAGCCCGTGTATGCAGAAGCGGGTGTAAGGTAACTACTATTCGTATTCTGTCCGACCGCAACTATTCGGCCGAATACCGAATAGTGAATAGGTCCACTATTCGGCATCGGTAAAAATTTTTAATTCTAATGTCAAATCAGTACTATTGTATGGGGCGGAAACATGGAGAACAACGAAGGCAATTACTAATAAATTACAGACATTCATTAACTGGTGCCTGCGCAGAATAGAGGTAATAAAATGGTATGATAGAATAACTAATGTAGAACTTTGGAGAGAACTAAACAGGCTCCAGTGGATCAGGAGGTGAGGAAAAGACGCTGGTGTTGGATAGGGCACACACTGAGAAAACAGGAGAACAGCATAACTAGAATGTCTTTGCATTGGAACCCACAGGGGCATAGGAATAAAGGAAGGCCAAAAAACACATGGAGAAGAGAGCTGGAGAATGAGGTTAGAAAGATTGGGAGGACATGGGGAGAGCTCCATGTAATGGCGAAGGATAGAACGACTTGGCGTGAGTTGGTTGAGGGCCTATGCTCCATTGGGGGATAGAAAGGCAGAAGAAGAGATTCGGCATCGAAGCGGATATTCGGTACAGCCCTAGTAGTAAGGTCCCATGTTTGACACTGGTAGCCTACAGCTGGCCCAAAAAATATCTGATTAGATTTGGCTTGGTTTACAGAACAAATAGTAAGCTCTTTGCTACTTTTTCACCCCATCTTGTGCGCTCTGAGATTTCATAGGGAATTCCTAGGGAGTTCCCGGAAAAGTCCAATATTCTAAAGGTATCAAGTATTGGTTGTTTTCACCGTTTATTGCATCATCGTTTCGTGTTACTTTTGTTCTGCAATGGACTTGCTACATTGTGATGATATATGTGTGGCTTACCAGTTAACGAATAAGTTTAACGGTTTCATGATCCTCAAGGACTGGGGGTTCATTCCCCATGGCGGACGGTGAAAAATTCATTCTTATGGTTGTCAGACAGTGTTGTGAGAGTCACACCAGTGAAGAGATTGCCTCACAGCATAATACTCCCAGAAACAACAGTGGTACACTGTAGCGACTCTTATGTGGAGACGGCACATATTTATATAATGTGTGTTTGTGTATATATGTATATTCCTCACTGTGGGAAAAACAGGAATATGTGTATATATATATATCTACTAAGCTTGGGGAGACCAAATATATATGTGTGTGTGTATGTAAGGTCTCATTAAGGTGAGAACTTGCGTCCAAAAATTTGTGAGACTGGTTTCTAATACTTTCAATTAGTCACTCCTGTAAACACTCACATGCTGTCTCTGTGTTTGTCCTCTTCTAGCTGAAAATGTGACAGAAAGTATATTTGCCTCTTTGTTATCTTTGATCAGGAATCACAGAAGTCTTTGGCTTCCAGCACGTCTGGTTTGGCATCCATGGACGAAGATGCCAACGCCTCTGTTTTTAGCGTCAAGGATAAAATCAAGAAATTAAATAAGAATATTTCTGAGTCGGACGTGAACCAGCCGAAATCAGTGAGCAGCAGTTCCAATGGGGGAAACAAGAAAATGAATAAATATACGGTAAGTATGTTCCGGGACCTCATTGTAAGGGGAAGTAGGGGGAGAAGATTAGACATGCTGCCTCTTAACAAGCATATCATAGGAGACGACTAACTAGGGGTGTTTTCTTTGAAGTCGGAGTGCATCTTCCTGAGAGGTAAGTCTACTTACAAAATGTTGAATGTTTACAGATCTGGCTTTTTTGTATGCATCTACATACAAAAAAGCCAGATCTGTCAATTGGATGTTCACACAAACCTCAAGTTCTAAAACAAGACTAAAGTCCAGATATGGACGAACACCAGAACTTTCTGCTGCAGTTTACATTTGTTGAACGCTAAGAAGAAGTTGTACAGTTGATAATTTCAGACCAGCTACACTTATTAAAGTTAACTGCTGTTTTTTCTTCTTCTTTTTCTTTGCTTTCACTGACTGTATAAACTCCGGCAGAAAGTTCTGGTTGTTCCTATTAATGAGGTTTTAATTATATTTAAAAATTCTTTTTAATCTGCTTATTATTTGTTTAACAAGTGCGGTTTGGTCTATAAAATATAGGGTTAGCTCAATATACCCAGTGTGCTTGAAGGGCCCTTTACTTTTTTTTTAAAATTTAAATATCCTTATCGGTTTGTTAATGTTATATATTATGGCAATGTATGTATACACCTATAAAAGTGCGTTTAAGAAGTGATTGTTTTTCTGTGTTAGTCCATAAAAAGAAGTTTGGTCTGTTGCGGTTTAAGGCTAGGTTGGGATTTCTGTGCCCTTTAGCCCAGCATATTCAATATCAGCAAACCGCATAATTAACTGCCATTTACAACATGCTTAGGAGGCAGTAGGTCTATTTTTTCGCCCTCCCAAAATGGGCCTTGCAACCCACTCGAGAGTGGAAGTGACTGATTGATAATACCTTTTTAAATTATTGATTTATCGATAATGATGCTCATATTTATGGTACCAGTGTACGTATTTATCAGTTGCTGATAATTGTTCTCATTAGTCCGTATGTGAGTTATGGACCCCATTACTCCCCCTCCCAAAAGTCGACTGATTAGGGGTGTTTCCTTCAAGGTCAGAGTGCGTCTGCCTGAAGGACGAGGAACCTGTAGTCTGCTTACAGGTAAGCCAGATATGTAAATCAGATGTGCACGCAAAACTGCAGTTCTGAATCAAGACTAAAGTCCAGAAGTGGATGAACAACCAGAACTTGCCGTTAGAGTTTTCAGCCGGTAAACTCGCAAAAGAAGAGAGTTTATTAGAATCTGTGTGTGAACATGTTTAAGTGACTGACTGATTGATGAAACATGTGTGATTATTGAACTGTGTTTAGTGTTTATTATTGAATGATGAATTGATTGAACTAGCCTCAATGTGAATGACATTTTTCTTCATTTATCAGGCAGCAGATGATGATGATACATCCCATTCGTCTGGATCATTTGTCAGTGTAAGTTTTGTTTTCCTCCAGGTATATTATCCTCCTGTTTGACTTTGTGATGACAATATCTTGTTTACTATTTTCCACTGTGAATAGAAAATACCTAGCACTTCAGGCTGGATCTGTAAACAGAAAATACTTAGCTCTTCATGCTGTTTATGTAAGCAGACAATATTTAGCTCCTTATGCTCTGTATGCAGACAGAAAATACTTAGCTCTTTATGCTGTGTCTGTAAACAGAAAATACTTAGATCTTCATGCTGTTTTTGTAAGCAGACAATGTTTAGCTTCTTATGCTCTGTCTGCAAACAGAAAATACTTAGCTCTTCCTACTGTGTCCGTAAGCATAAAATATTTAGCTCCTTATGCTCTGTCTGCAAACAGAAAATACTTAGATCTTTATGTTGTTTATGTAAGCAGAAAATATTTAGCTCCTTATGCTCAGTCTTCAAACAGAAAATACTTAGATCTTTATGCTGTTTATGTAAGCAGAAAATATTTAGCTTCTTATGCTCTGTCTGCAAACAGAAAATACTTAGCTCTTCCTACTGTGTCCGTAAGCAGAAAATATTTAGCTCTTTATGCTCAGTCTTCAAACAGAAAATACTTAGATCTTTATGCTGTTTATGTAAGCAGAAAATATTTAGCTCCTTATGCTCTGTCTGCAAACAGAAAATATTAGATCTTTATGCTGTTTATGTAAGCAGAAAATATTTAGCTTCTTATGCTCTGTCTGCAAACAGAAAATACTTAGCTCTTCCTACTGTGTCCGTAAGCATAAAATATTTAGCTCCTTATGCTCTGTCTGCAAACAGAAAATACTTAGATCTTTATGCTGTTTATGTAAGCAGAAAATATTTAGCTCCTTATGCTCAGTCTTCAAACAGAAAATACTTAGATCTTTATGCTGTTTATGTAAGCAGAAAATATTTAGCTTCTTAAGCTCTGTCTGCAAACAGAAAATACTTAGCTCTTCGTACTGTGTCCGTAAGCATAAAATATTTAGCTCCTTATGCTCAGTCTTCAAACAGAAAATACTTAGATCTTTATGCTGTTAATGTAAGCAGAAAATATTTAGCTCCTTATGCTCTGTCTGTCTTTTAACAGAAAATACTTAGCTCTTTATGCTGTGTCTGTAAACAGAAAATACTTAGCTTTTCATACTGTTTATGTAAGCAGACAATATTTAGCTCCTTATGGGAGCAGTCATCTGCTTTATTTGGTAAATTGAATGTTGAATTTAGAATCAACATCACAGCAAGAGCAATCATACGTGAATGCAGGACAGCTGCTATCCAGTTCACAAACCACGGACAAACCCCCTTCTCCATGAGTGCAGAAGTCAAAATATCAAATTTGACTCTGTTGTAGGCATCATCAAGATCAAGTGCTGCCATAACCGTCTCCTGTCTGTTCTGGAACCCCTCATAAACATCAAAGTAAAAGTAGCTGTATTAGACCAGGTATCTTTCCGTGGCCAGTAAATACCCAAACCTTTTGGCAGGAGCTCTTCCTTTTCCAAAAACATTTGTTGTTTAACAGCAATAATCTTCTCTAGCACCTTGCCAGAAGTATTTTGTAGGGGGATAATCCTAAATTTGCTGAGCCTGGAATGATCTTTGCTTGGTTTTGGAAGTGGAATTAGGTAGCTGTGTACCCAATCCTGCAGGACTGAAGCTGTTCTGATGCTCTGGTTGAAGTAAAAAGCCATCTCCTCCTTCAAGTCTTCATCACTCATGCTCTTCATGTGGGCATACCTAACTCCGTCTAGCCCCGGCACAGTGTCCTTTGCTTTTTGCAATATATGTTTTAATTAAATTAAGGTTTTAATTATTTTATTTCATTTTTAATTGGTGATAATTGTGTCTGTGTTTACAGTTGGACGATGAGCAAAAGGACTGGATGGTTGTGTGCTCTCACTCCGACTACCATGAAATGAACAGGCTGCTCTCCAAAAATCCATCTCTGGCTAAAATTAAGGTATCTATTTATACAGTTGTGTCCTTAACCATTGATTCTGACTGTATATAGTTGTGTGTGTGTATATATATATACACACATATATTCATAAAACCTGTAAATATTATTGTATATATATGGTGCCAGATCCAGATTGTTAGATCAGTTGGCCCTCAGTGGAGGATGAGGTCATTAATCATGTCAGCTGACTTTACTCGCCGCAATATTTCCCGAATGCCCTAGTGGGTCAGTAAAATAGAATGCCTTTTCATCAAGAGAATCACGTACGTGACCTCCAGACCAACCTGCTAGACACTGCGCTACAAATCTTCTACAAAATAGCATGGAATAAATAGGACTAGATCTGTTAATACTGTTAGCATGCAGTCAACAAAGGTATAAGCCTCTTCTTCCAAGAAAGACATTTTCCAAACTTGTATGGGGTAAGTTGAGATAATGTGTTTAGACAGTGTCTGTTACACTGTAAAACAGCTATGATACTGGATACAGCTGCATCGTATGTAGATGTGGTTTGTATGATTATATTTACCCACCCCCCCCCCCCCCCCCCCCATCCCTTTTAAAAATATATCAAAAGAACTCTACTTCTGCCTTCTCCTCAGTATGTTTAGGAAACCTGACAAGGCTGTTACAGCTTGCTTGGGCTCTGTTTTTGACATTCATATATTTGGCAAACCTTTCCTTGATTAGTGACAAACAAGTATAGCACACATTGACGTGACTCATTTTGACTCATACAGATTCTAACATGCGAGTCGTATTCCAGACATCGGTTGTATACCAAAGCGGGTGTGTACTGAGGTACCACAGCACTGATCTTTCTTATGTTTACACACACTTCTTTCAACTCGTTTAACATGTTAATTTGTTTTTTGAATACTTGTTTAATTTCGTTATTCTTTTGATCCACAGGATTTTACAAATGTGAGTATATTTCATAGTGTATCTGCAAAGAATAAGTTAAGCTATTTTCACCTCTGTCGTCACGCTCATAGGTGCTCATTCTTCTTTGGCCTTATTAACTCTTTGAGTCCCAGGGGGTTTAGCATCACAGGCCCAAGAGGTAGTAAAAAAAAGACGTAAAATCGGCGCATCTTGCCTTCATTAGACTTCTAGGTAGGAATCTATGAATACATGACGCGTTCCTTGGGACTCAAAGAGTTAATAGATTATACGTAGAACCAATACAGCTTATGTGCTGGACATTGCAGTTCATCAGATGATCAGCAGCCGAGCCAGGGCCGCTTGATAGGTGAACATAAATCATGACACCAGTTGCATCCTTGTCAAGAAGCACTTGATTTGGTCCTGTATAAAATTAGTAATTGAATATTGTTTAAGTAGTCACAGTTGAAAGTTTAATTTAGATTCAAGAGATTAATCCAGTGAACTGTGACTTAACGAAATGGGAAAGCAGAACAACACGCATAAAACAACACTACACAAATCGTTCATTGCACAGGTTTATCCTGCATAATTGAGACTGTATCTGTAGAATAGCTAACTACTTACTAGAGCACAATCACTGAAGCTGATGATGATCCCCAGAGATCTCCATAAAAACTGCACTCATGAACTGAACGACGCATCAATGAAACGAACCCATGACCTTCAGAGCGCCAGGCAAACGGCTTGACCACAACACCACCAAGACACCACTCTACCCCCATTAAGTTTGTGTAGTTTCTCTGTTCCAGTTCTCCTTACATTAGTCATTAGTGTTGCTAAACTCCCCGTGTGGGTTCCGGGGCTGCTTTATGGGGAAAACAAGAATAGACCCTCTGCCTAAAATTGGGGAGCTTCCTTTGAAGTCAGAGTGCATCTGCCTGAGAGGCAAGGAACCAACAGTCTGCATTCAAGTGAATCAGATCTGTAAAACTGATGCACATGCAACACTCAGGTTCCGGAGCGGGACTGCAGTTCAGAAGTGGACAAACAACCAGAACGTTCCACAGAGTGTACAGCTGGTGAACGCGAAGAAGAAGAAGAAGTGTTGCTAATCACTGGCAGGGTCAGCAAATCTTGTTGTTGTTTTCTTGGGGCCATTCTTTCAATTCATTGATGATTGATGTAATTGTTTGAACTGTAGTAAATTGTAGAAAAACATTGATTAAATCAACAAATTCTGAAAGTGGAAGACATGTGGCTATCTCCCCAGAACACACAAAAAAACCATCATAATTTGTGCTATCCATCTCTTCTTCATCTTCTCCTTTTACTTCTTCTTCCCCTAGACTGGGTTATCTGTGTTTTTTGGCCACACACGTATATGATCTCAGCAAACCTCTAATTACTCACTTTTTATGCCATACTTGTTGGAGGTGCAGTGGGTTTACACCCCCCCCTTTCCGCCCCCTCACCAGAAATTATGGGGCCCTGGAGCATTCAGAAGTAAGTGTCACTGATAGAGTTTAAGACTGACCTGATCAGAAATCAGTGAATGACCTCATCTGAGAATGGAGAGATAAGAAAGGCTAGAGCTAGAGGAGCCTCAAAGCCCAGGTCTGACAAGTGGCACTGAAGTGACAAGTGGCACTGAAGTGACAAGTGGCACTGAAGTTACATCCTCTGTCTGGTTCATATTTTTATCATGTCCAATATAATTGTCTTCCTCTTGCCTGTTTGTGCCCCTGTCATCTTGTCCTCAAAAGTTTCTGTACTGTTATTGAAACTGACATTCATGTCTTGTCTTTCTCCACATGTAATGGTGGGATTCTCACTACACAGGGGGTAAGTTATCATTTATTATTGCTGTGTCTGTGTGGTATGTAGTTGCATACATTTCTGTATTACATAAATTATTTGTCTTTACATATGATTCTATATGCTTATGCCATCTATTTTGTGGATGTACTTTCTTTACAAGCGATTGTGTATGCTGTTGCTTTTTATCACCTTATTTAGGCACCCTTTAGGAACTTTATGGTGAGTACCAACGTGCTATTTTCTAGAAGAAAAAACCTTTAATGTAATATACCACTTTTGAGGAATGGCAGCCATTTTGAAGCAATGGAAGTTTTCATCTGAACATGACGCTTCTGTGACCCAGATTTGTGCAATTTGTAACTTAATAATAAAAATACAGGGAAATGAAAATGGCCAAATGCAGAGAGCTAGAGACATAGGTAGGAAGTACAAGAAAGACATAGAAAAGCTAGAGGTGGTAAAATATTTGAAGGGTTTGGCCTGAGATGTTGAAGAATTAGTCTCCATTGGTGGGTCACGGCAGAAAAAAAAAATTTAAGAACATTTTAGTGTAATTTGTCGTGTGTAATGAATGCAGATTGTTACAGTCAGCGTTGTAAAAGATGCCCTGTGTTTATACTTCATGAATTCTTCATTATAATCTGTTGGTGAATCAGCAGTAAATTTTTACAACTAATTAATTTGTTTGTCCTTTTTCTTCCACTGCTGGCATTGACCTATGACCCCATGCTGCTGGAATTATAGTATGTAAGTATCACTTATGTCTTGTATTTAATTGAACAGCATAATGAAACTATGATGTTACAACATTAGGGATGTAGCTGAGGTATCAGAAATGTCACATTGAATTTCATGGAATTATGGTCTGTTTCTAGTGAAAGTTTTCACAGAAAGAACTAACCTGGCACAGTTTGGCAACTGCTTGAGCTGTTCTGATTGTTTAAAAATACCAAAAAACTTGTTGATGCACTAGCATCGGTACCGATTCTATAGGAAAACAAATATAAACAGTGGAATACAGTTCATTGACTCAGTATACTAAGCGGGTCACCTTCATTTAAATTGTTTTGGGAGATGTGCTTATGGTATGAGGAAATCATAGACAAACTGTATTAGGAGATCACAGACAAATTGTATTAGTAAATAACCAACAAATTGTGTTAGGAAATCATAGATAAATGTATTACGGATTCATTAACAAATTATATTAGGTATCATAAACAATCTGTATTAGAATATCACGGATATATTGCATTAGGAAATCACTTACGCATTATATTAATATATCATAAACAAACTATGTTAGGAAATCATAGACAGATATAATAGGAAAACATAAACAAAGTGTGTTAGGAAATCATAAATAGATATGATAGGAAAACAAACAAAGTGTGTTTGGAAATCATCAAGAAATGTATTAGGAAATCTCAGACAAGGAAGAAATGAATTAATGGTATTTTAAGTGATTTATGTTAATTCGTTCTACATTACTGTAAGTTGAAGAAAATTTGACAATGAATAAACAGTACAGTGGCAAAACTTGAACTTTTTTAATATGGTTGTTTAGGCAGGAATTATGAACAATAATTTTGTAGAGAGATTTATCATTACCAATCAGCAGATCTTTTACAAAACATTGCCACAGCACATCTAAAAGTCTCTTTTTCTCTAGCCAGTTTTTCAGTCCTGTGTGCTTTTATAACCAATGCATCATCGGTGTCTTATTTCCACCTTTGTGGAAGTCTGCCTCATTTTCTGGAAACTGTGCTCCATCCCAACTCGCTCCAGGTCACCGTAACATTTAACATGACCAAAATACCCCAGCTTTCCGGACAGGATGTTGTTTATGAGCCAGTTCTCCTCGATGCTCAGGTCATGCATGATGTCAGTGTTTTTTTCTTCTTCTTCGTCCAAAAGGAAAGATAACTGAAAGAAATCGTGATGCTTTAACCTTATATGATGGCATAGTTCCTTGTTAGAGGATTTGTTGGAGGGATGAGTGCAACAGAAATTGTTGCTTATGGATGCACAAGGTTAGAGGTGGACTAGATTTATCCTGTGTGGATTCACCAGGAACATGCAAGGGAAAGTACGGGTTAACATTTTTGACAATCATCACTGAGGAGTTGACACTTGTTAGGGACAATTATGAGGAGATAGATAGATGTGAAGGGGCAGATGCTCTCAGAAGAATCAGAGATGGGTTATTTGATTTGGAAGGATACATTTGATAGAAGCTGTTTATTGAATAATGCTTGAATTTTCCTTACAGACTGCCTTACACTGGGCTGCTAAAAGTGGCAAGTCGGAAGTGATCAAACTGGTTGCTAACAAACCTGGAGTTAACGTGGATCAGAGATCTGTAAGCTTTTTAATTTATTATTGTTTATATTTTTTTAAAATAATTTGTAAAAATTGGATTTTAAATGCTGATCAGAGTCTTCTGTCTCTTTAATCAGGCAGAGATCTAGGACTTCATTCGTTAATGTAAATCAGAAGTCTATTACTTCTCTTCTTATGTTAATCAGAGATCTCTAAGTGACTTTTCCACCTCTATAATGTGGATCTGAGATCTCACAGTGAATTTTCCACCTCTCTAATGTTGTTCAGAGATCTCTAAGTGACTTTTCCATCTCTCTAATGTGATTCAGAGATCTCTAAGTGACTTTTCCCACCTCTATAATGTGATTCAGAGATATCTGAATGACCTTTTCACCTCTGTAATGTGAATCAGAAATTTATAAATGTCTTGTCCATATCTGTAATATGGATCAATCAGTGATTCTTCTCTTTTCACAAATGGATTCTTTAATTTGAACAACAGGAAGAAAAACACCAACAGCAAAAAACAATAACATAATGCTTTCCCTTGATAAAGGTAATTGTGTACAATGATTTCAGATGTGAAACAGCCAAGCCAAAACTATGTACATAAATTGATCTATCAAATAAATGTATGCGACCTGATGCAAATGATTACTTAGGTGATGCAGAGAATAGTGATGATGCAGTCTACCAAGCATGTTATAGGAGACTTCAGAGTTAGAGTTTGCTACCCTGTCCTATTGGAAAAAGCAAAACAACAATGAAAAATGTAAAACAGAACAAAGAATTATGCAACAATTCAAGATGAGGGAAGGCTCTTCTTACAGAGGATTAAAAAAAAAAAACAGGTGCCGGGAAAAACAGTATTAATTTGGATTTAAGTCACCATGTTTTAGGACATCTTGCAGACGCTGGTCTGTGGCACATCCTGGGCAGACACTAAGTTTTGGGACATCTTGCAGACTGATCTGTAGGACATCCTGGGCAGACACTAAGATTTAGGACATCCTGCAGACGCTGGTCTGTAGGACATCCTGGGCAGACACTAAGTTTTGGGACATCTTGTAGACTCTGGTCTGTGGGACATCCTGGGCAGACACTAAGTTTTGGGACATCTTGCAGACTCTGGTCTGTGTGACATCCTGGGCAGACACTAAATTTTGGGACATCTTGCAGACTCTGGTCTGTGTGACATCCTGGGCAGACACTAAGTTTTGGGACATCCTGGGCAGACACTAAGTTTTGGGACATCTTGCAGACTCTGCCTTGTGGCACATCCTGGGCAGACACTAAGTTTTGGGACATCTTGCAGACTCTGGTCTGTGGGATAACCTGGGCAGACACTAAGTTTTGGGACATGTTGCAGACTGGTCTGTTGGACATCCTGGGCAGACACTAAGCTTTGGGACATCTTGCAGACTCTGGTCTGTGGGACATCCTGGGCAGACACTAAATTTTGGGACATCCTGCAGACTCTGGTCTGTGGCACATCCTGGGCAGACACTAAGATTTGGGACATCCTGCAGACTCTGGTCTGTGGCACATCCTGGGCAGACACTAAGTTTTGGGACATCTTGCAGACTCTGGTCTCCGGGACATCCTGGGCAGACACTAAGTTTTGGGACATCTTGCAGACTCTGTCCTGTGGCACATCCTGGGCAGACACTAAGTTTTGGGACATCTTGCAGACTCTGGTCTCCGGGACATCCTGGGCAGACACTAAGTTTTGGGACATCTTGCAGACTCTGGTCTGTGGGACATCGTGGGCAGACACTAAGTTTTAGGACATCTTGCAGACTCTGCCTTGTGGCACATCCTGGGCAGACACTAAGTTTTGGGACATCTTGCAGACTCTGGTCTGTGGGATAACCTGGGCAGACACTAAGTTTTGGGACATCTTGCAGACTCTGGTCTGAGGGACATCCTGGGCAGACACTAAGTTTTAGGACATCTTGCAGACTCTGGTCTGTAACACATCCTGGGCAGACACTAAGTTTTGGGACATCTTGCAGACTCTGTCCTGTGGCACATCCTGGGCAGACACTAAGTTTTGGGACATCTTGCAGACTCTGGTCTCCGGGACATCCTGGGCAGACACTAAGTTTTGGGACATCTTGCAGACTCTGGTCTCCGGGACATCCTGGGCAGACACTAAGTTTTGGGACATCTTGCAGACTCTGGTCTGTGGGACATCCTGTGCAGACACTAAGTTTTGGGACATCTTGCAGACTCTGGTCTGTGTGACATCCTGGGCAGACACTAAGTTTTGGGACATCTTGCAGACTCTGGTCTGTGGGACATCCTGGGCAGACACTAAATTTTGGGACATCTTGCAGACTCTGGTCTGTGTGACATCCTGGGCAGACACTAAGTTTTGGGACATCCTGGGCAGACACTAAGTTTTGGGACATCTTGCAGACTCTGTCCTGTGGCACATCCTGGGCAGACACTAAGTTTTGGGACATCTTGCAGACTCTGGTCTGTGGGATAACCTGGGTAGCCACTAGTCTATGTGATAAACTAGTATTTGCGGATTGGTCAATAAAAATGGGGGTGTATCACCATCTACCTTGCAATAATGGCATATGAAAGGCCCTTCAGTTGACTTTATTACATCATGTGTTAGAGATAACTTTTCACTATAAAACGGGCCAGATACAAGATGAGTTTTAATTTTATTTCAAAGCCAAAGTATCCGAGAAAAATGTCTGCCATTTGCCATAGTCTTAACGTCTATTCGATGAACCGTCACTTTGGTCGTGAAGGTAGGCGGTTAATTTGCCACCCCAGCGACACATTTATATATAACCAAACCTCATAATACCAGTTGCAAAACCACCTTTTTGCATTGTCAAATTTCAATTGTCCGCTAAGCGCAGCAGGAGATGTCTTAGGCCTGGCTTCATGAAGGAGGTCGGCTCAGCCTCTGAGATTGTATCGGAGGATTAGAGGCCGAAACAATTGTGGACGACAGACTTTTCTGCCCATGATCGGTGGACTCATGCTTTGTGTGCTGTTACTGTGGAGTTCTTCTTATTATATTATTTTAATGATTTTTTTTTAAGCTTTCTGTAAACCATTCTAATTCATTGATATTTTTCTTTCCTCATAATTGTGGCTGTCTTTCATACAGCACGTAAGTATACAAAATATTTTGCACTTTTTTTTTTTTTCAAAGATTTAATTTCTGTGAAAAGTTCAAAGTTGATGCTGTTTATTAGCATGCATCATATCGACTGCTATTACTGGAGTCACTTACTTCATAGAGATTAAAGTGAGTGTTTTTGGTTCAAGTGGTACTATTACCATCAGAAAAGTCAAAACTGTATATACATATCATTGTTCTGTTATTTCATTGCATATCACATGGGGCTTACAGTCTGTTCCTCCATTTTGTTCTATTGTGTGCAGTCACTTCGATATCACAGATGGGATCCCAATCCAACACATTTAGCTTATCTCATCCACGTTTACTTTGGAGTTTCTCTTGAACCTCCTCATTGTCTCAGTCCCTCTATATCCCACTTCAAGTGCCTATTTGGTGATTCTCTGTTTGTTTCTTCTCACGATGTGTCCAATATAGCGCCATCTTCTCTGTCTTATAACTGTTGATAGTACTGGTTGTCCAGACATTTCTCTTTTGTGCTCGTCCTTCTTGAATTTGTCACATTTTATGTTTATCATTTTTCTCAGGCAGTTATTTTCGACTGCATTTAGCTAAATACATACATACATATGTACATATGTATACACACATACATACACACATACATACACACATACATACACACATACATACACACATACATACATACATACATACATACATACATACATACATACATACATACATACATACATACATACATACATACATACATACATACATACATACATACCTCTCCCCCTCCCCCCCACACACACACACATATGTGCTGCAAAAAAATGCGTAAAGGTATTTCTTTGTTAACATATTTCAGCCTTGCTTTTCAAGGTATGCCAAATGTACCATCACTGCAAATAGGCTAACCAAATGGACCATGAATAATGCATTCATTGACTCACAACACTCACTATCTTGGGATCGAATGGGTGCTAGGAAGTGACCTGGGAAGTAAAGCTGGCTGGCATGGTGTTGACCACATTACCTGTGAAGTGTTGATTGGCCTATACAAATATTGGTTAAGCACTATATGCCTTATCTGCCAGTAGCAGAACAAAAATGTATTGGGTATCTGATGCTGTTGGGAGCCACCGTGGTGTAGCGGCTAGATGCTGGCCCACGGATGGAAAGGTCGTAGGTACAGGTCCTGGTGGAGCCGGACTTTTTTTTTTTTTCAGAAATGACCTTGGCTCCCAGGTTGAACCAGCCTTGAGTGGGTTCAGGGTAATGACCTGGGAAGTAAAGGCTGCCGGCGTGATGCTGACCACATCACTGACTGAGGGCCGATTGGTCTATGAAATATCGGTTTAGTCCTTGGATATGCCCAATATGCCTCAAGGTGTAGAAAAGTGTGCTTTACTTACTTGATGCTGTTGCACTCGGATTCAAAATGCGTATGTATTCCCTAAGTAAAATCGTCAGCAAAACTGTAGCCTGCAACTCAGTCCATAGTTACAGTGAGATTTGATCCTTATTGAGCACTAGTTAAGTTTACACTGTTCTGGGAAGATAACATAATGAGGAATAGAGCTGCTCTCCTCACCCTTTCCTTCTCTTCCCCCACACCTGATTGTGTCACACCTGGTTTAAGTGATAGCTGAACACTTCACACATCTGTTGCAGTATCTGCAACAGAATTCACTGAGCCCTATAAAATAATGCAAATTTGTTTGGTTTTTCTATCCCCATGACTCTTCTGACACAATGGCTGTGAATCTTTACTGGCTGCCTTTTAGGGGGTAAGTTATTATTGTCTGCAGAAGTAATGTTTCTGTTTTCTGTTGATTCTTTTGTCAGCACGGTAACATTATGTTAGAATATAGCTTGCATTCTTCATTTTGTGTCTGGGGCATCTTGTGCAAAGTCCAGCCTCTTGGACATTCTGTGTATACACAACATATTGAGGCTATCCTCCGAATAATGGTCCCAAATTATCGAGGCCGAAAATATACCCTAACAGGGCCTCAGACACATGTAAATTGCGGACTTCCGGCGACTTAAATTGTGAACTTCCGGCGACTACTGCCACTGCCGAGAGTATCTCCCGCACCACTACGTGGAACTAAACTAGGTGGCTGGGACTCACAAGCAGCAGCAACCGCATCTCCTGCAGCTTCCCTCATTTTATTTGCTTGTGAGTCCCAGCCATCTAGTTTAGCCCCACTTCACGCCACGGAGTTACAGAGACCAGTGGAAATCATGGCTGGAGCTACAGTGTTCAAGCTTTGTGGGATGCTCTCAGCAGACGGCTAGGTGGAGATGCCAAGCCCTAATGGATAAAACCGACGGCAATAAAGTTGATTCTCTCCAATTGAACCTTTAATCTTGTCTTTTGGACAACCTGGGCAGACACTTTTCTGGGAAACTGATGTCTGCTTAACTTTTTACTAGGACAGTCATGGGAATTTTATGTGGTTGTGACTGCCGCAGGAACATAGCAATTATGGGACGACCTGTTTGCCTGGAAATGAAAGTCATAACTGATAACCTGATAGAGTATTATAGGAAGAAATTATTTCCAAGCTGCAGAAGTGTAGTTTTATAGAAGAATGATGAAAACACCTGGGACAGATCAGGTGTCTTAAGTTTTCATGAGGATGCACAATATACAGATAATCTTTAGCCATAACATTGTCTTATATTTAACATTCATTTACATGATTGATCAGGGTTACTATTTACGGTGTCTATCACGTGGGACAGTGAGGGAGATTTCATTTGATTTTCACTGGCACAGGAGCGGAGCAAGTATGGGGTGACCCAGTTGGAGTGAAGTTGAAACCTCGACTAAAACTAAGACATAACATATATGAATTTAACTGATATCTTTTGATTCTTATTCTTTCTTTAACACTATGACCCCGTATAAAGCAGTTATTTGACATTCACGTGTTTTTTTTGTGACATAAATTTGTGCAGTGGCCAGTACGCCTGTATAACAAATTTGGTTCACGTTGCACCTGCATTCTGTGTAGACATAGGTATAATTATATTAAACCCCCCCCCCCCCCGCTCCCCCTTCCCCCCCCCCCCCCCACTCTTCCAGTATGAGATATTATTTGGGATGAAAAAAATTATGACTTTTTGGTCATTGTCATTGTGACATCATAATAACCTCATAATGATGTCACTTTGCTCCATATGCCTGTGTCAATAGAAACACATTTTTACCTCTTTGTTTCTATGCAGACTGTTGGTTACTTGCCTCTTATCCGGACACACTCTTGAAGGAATCCCCTAATTAGTCAAGTCCTGTGATATGCTAGTTGGGGAGGCAGTGGGTCTGTTCTTGTTTTCCTCTACAATGGGGTCCCCGGACCCCACACAGGGGCTATTAGTGCTTGGATTTTATAAACAAAATATGTTCTGTAGATGTGGTAACTTGCCTGGCAATCCTCATTAGTCACCTCTTACAGCTGTCATGGTGGCTTACTGAGCTACTGTTCTTGATTCTCTTATGGGACCCGATAGTGCAATTATTATCTTCTTTTTTGGTATATTTAACTGATATTGAGTTATTCTTTTTTGTGTGTTTTTAATCTGTGTGATGTTGTTTAATGTTTGTCAGGGCTACACTGCTCTACACCTCGCAGCTATCCACGGCCAGGAGGAGATCATTGAGTTGTTGGTTCAGGCATACAGTAAGTACTTCTTGTTTAGTCTTCTGTCTGATTATAGACTAGCTGTCTCTGATTTTCGCTCTTTTGGTTATTGATATCATTTTCTTGACTCATTAACCATCTGGCAACTGAACATGCATTTGTTGGGTTTTACTTCCATTATAAATTGCTTCTAGCCTTGGCTCTCAGGTCGACCCAGACTCTTAAATGGGTACTAGTTAAAGTCCTGGGAAGTAAAAGGCGGTAGGTGTGATGCTGACCACATCACCCACTGAGTGTAGATTCATCTATAAAGTATAGGCCTAGCCCTACATGCCCAGTATGCCTGAAGCCCCTTTCATACATGATGTTATTTGTACATCTCTAATTCTCTTATTAGGTAATCATAAATATCAATACCAGCAACAGTTATTCAGTAATTAAATAGACCCAATCATTATTGAGTCCACTCTTTAGCTGTGCTGGTCAGAATAAAAATTGTTGGTATGTTCTTCTTCTTGTTCACCAGTTGTGAATTCTGGCGGAAAGTCCTGGTTATTTGTCTACCTTGATAAATCCATTCACTTGTCACATCATGCTGCAGTTTATTTCTTCTCATAATGTGGGCCAGTGATTTATGACTGCTTCTTTATGATAAGTTCTTATGTCTTAACTATTATTGTTTACTTCATTGCGCCTACAGATTTGTAATTCAGTGAATTGTTCTTGAACAGAGGCAGATGCCAACTTGCGAGACTACAGTGGAAAGAAAGCTAAACAGTATTTGAAGAACTCTGCATCGTCTAAGGCACAACGTAAGCGATTTTTATCTTCATTTGCTTCTTCTTTTGAGCCTGCAAATTTAGTGTTCACCCATTCTAGTGCTCCAGTGAAAATGAAATCTGGCACAAAACTGTGTATTTCTGATCCAATACCGATTGACAGTTCTAGTACTGTGTAGGAAACGAGAACTACAGAGAATCGACCCATGAAGTTTGCTTATGCTGCCTGTCATTTGATGAATTCTGTTATTGTGATAAGAATTGCTGCCTTTGAAGAACTGTATACTGCCATGACAGTAATGTGCTGTTTTTGGTGCAATATTTACTGTTATTGTGACTGAAGGAATATAAAGCCATTGAAACAACATATGCCGTTATTTTGGAGTAACATTTACTGCCAGTATACAACATTTAAAATTGACATAGGATCCTGCCAGAAGTGACATATAAACATTGAAATGAAACAAAGCTGTATCATTCAGAAAGAACCTATAAACCATTGAAATGACATATGTTGTCATTTAGACTAACATACACTTCAAACAAACAACATATATTTACACATGCTCCTGTCATTCAGAAGTAACTCACTCTTCCAGCATACAACATATAATATGTCATTTAGAAGTAACAATACTTCAAGTGTATGAAATATAATATGTATACACCATCATGTCATCTTGAAGTACTGTACAAACTCGTGAACCTCTTGTTCTTAGGTTTAAATCAACAACATAACACTTTAAATATTGATGCATATGAAATCAGCACTGTCATTGAACAAGTGCAATTTTATAATTTATATACATTTTTTACCTCATTTGGAAGAGTGTCTTCAAGCTAGCATTGCCATAAGGATCTGTAAATTGCCTTATTGTTTCAGTATTTATTTTCAATAATGTTTCCACAGAACATTGTATTTAAAAAAAAATATGTTGAAGATTATTGTATATGCTGTAGTAGAGAGAGAAAAAACCTTTGAAATTTGTAGAAACAAATTTGAAGGATGAAACAAATTATATTAGCTCTATTGCCCCAAAAAGCAGCAAAAACCGACATTTCCTGTTGGGGTCAATCCCCTGTAAATGTAATTATTCTGACCTGTTTATAAATCGTATATTTAGTGCTATTGGCTGTGTTCACCCCTGAGCAAACATTCTGGAGGTCAGGATGTTAATGTAGTAACTCAAAATAGCATACTGGGGTTTTCCTTAAAATGACAATTTTTTTTTCCAAACCTTAAGAAGACGGAAAATTTAACTTTCTCTATTGGATTCAGCATAGTTATTGTGAATTTGTATGGCATTTATTTTATTTAGTATTTTATGAGGGCATAACTTAATGTTGTCTCTGAGTTTGATCTGTATTTGTCAGGTACCAGACCTGATCTGTTGAGTTCTTAGTTATTCATAAGGTGGTGTTTTAGTTTCCACTTTTATATTTTGCATTTTATTGGAAATTTCAAATAAGGGTTTAACTACATTGTAGTTGGGTCAGAGTGAAGAACCTCACACTTATGATGTATATATATATATATATATATATATATATATATATATATATATATATATATATATATATATATATATATATATATATATATATATATATATATATATATATATATATATATATATATATATATATATATATATGATGTATATTTACATGTGTGTGGTGCGTGCATGTGTGCATGTGTCTCTTTCTCTCTCTCATTCTATATATACATATATATATCTATATATATATGTAAAGACCAGAACAACTGAATAAATTATGGAGTGGGACTGACAGAACTATAAAAAACAGATTTCTAAGAGCATGCATCTTTCATATTGCAAAATAAGCCTGTGAGACCTGGACATTTACTAAACAAGCTGAACAGCACATAAATGCCTTTGATGGGTTCTAGGATTATTATGGGTAAAGAAAAGAACAAATGCATCCATACTTTGAGAACTGAATATTGAAGAAGGTGACGGCCAAGGAGAACGCGAATGCATCGGTGGCCCTGCAGGATGCGTGTGAAATGTGAGAGACTCAGCTTAAAATATTTCGCTTCTGACTGGAACTGCACTTCGTTCAGTCAGCACCCATTTTGAGAAGCCTCTACAGCAGGACATGCTGCAGGAAACTGGTGACGACTTTGGTGGCAGTGATACATCACTGCCAGAAATATGACTTGGTATATTAAGATCGGCACAGCAAAAAACGAGACGCACACCGGACACGTCAGAAGACTTGTTAATCATATAGAACTGGTACTATTAGCCATCGGACGTTGGGGTTCATACTGAGGGGAGGATCTGAGCACCTATGGACATGTCCGGAGTGCAATGACGATAACCCAACTAACTAACTAACTAACATACACACACACATATATATATATACACACACATGTATATATACATGTGTATGTGTGTGTGTATATATGTGTGTATGTGTGTGTGTATATATATATGTGTGTGTGTGTATGTTAGTTAGTTAGTTAGTTAGTTGGGTTATCGTCATTGCACTCCGGACATGTCCATAGGTGCTCAGATCCTCCCCTCAGTATGAACCCCAACGTCCGATGGCTAATAGTACCAGTTCTATGTTGATTAACAAGTCTTCTGACGTGTCCGGTGTGCGTCTCGTTTTTTGCTGGTACCAGACCTGATCTGTTTGTTTTATATATATATATATATATATATATCTTAGGCGCTGCGAGTCCGACCCGTAATTCCAGTACACTGCTGGCTGCGTGGATTTTTATAATGGTATAGTGCGTCGCAGGTCGACCCAGCCTGAAATGGTTACCAGAATGTATATCCTGGGAAAGTAAAGACGACCAGCGTAATGCTGTCCACATTACCCACCTAGTACCAATTGGTCTGTAAAAATATAGGTGCTCTTCACATATGCCTGACACACCTTAAAGCGGGAAAAGGGATCTTAATATATGTGTGTGTGTGAATGTTGTGTATAGAGACTATGTGTGTAGCTTCTGTTTGAAAAGTTACAACAGGGCTTTTTGTTTTGTGTAATTGTACATTGTTGATTTTAGTCTTCTCTTAGCTTTGCCTCTTGTTGCTGATGTTGGTCTTTTCACTTGTTGTATTCACCTTCTGTTTTGTGTGCCTACCCCATGCTCCTGCCAATTACCGCTTGTATTTACCACTTTTGTAGGGGGGGGGGGGGGGGTCTTTGAGTCTGAGGATTTAGAGATGCATGGCTAGTGCTGTCGCCGTGGACTGCACAGGTTAGGATTTTATTTGTGCTGCGACAAAAAAAAATGTGGGGGCCGTATCAAGGATTTCAATCTCAATCTCCTGCGTAAGGATTTGTAACCATTCCGCAAGCCACTCCTCCCAATCCTACAATGCCCTGTAAATTGGTAAATATGGTCAGTAAAGACAGTCGTTGTTTGTTAGTGCTATATTCTACTGATGTATCTGATTATATTCCATTCTGTGTGAAAGAATTTCTATTGGTTAATTTCACCTCCTTACATTTTAACTGCTATTTAAATACTTGTATTAAATTCTGTTTTGTTTGTTGGGTACAATTTTGTGTTCAATTTAAAAAAAAAACAAATATTTTATCCGAGGTCTAGAGCAACAAAAGACATGTTAATTCTATGCTACTATATAATATCTTCATAATAATATCTGTAATAATACATAATATCTGCGAATGTATACACTGTATATCTGCAATGTCACATGATTGACTAGTTATAATGAATCCAAATACAGTGTTGATTCCTGTACATAATCAGTGTATTACTACCAGTGAAAAGTTGATGGTAATTATTTCACTCTGGTCCTAATTCATAATATTAACTCTAAGTCTTAGCTTTAGGTTTTTACAAATATTGATGCTTGTCTTATATATATATATACATTTTTTTTTTGAAAGGGGGGGGGGGGGGGGGGGGGGGGTCACTTTTATAAAATAAATTCTTTCAGATATTTTATGAATTTGTCAATGTCATTGGAAGTTTAAAAAAACATTTTTAATTCAATGTTAATTGTTATGGTTGTTCAGTTCAGAGTTGTGTACATTATTTATTTCACTTTTTAATTGCAATAATTTCACTAAATGAATATTTACATTTGAAGCTGTATATGGAAGTGGAGTAATTTAGCCAGCATTACATATTGACAGAAATGGATTCTCACAGCGGAACATGTAGTAAAACATGACATTTAATTACAATAATATTGTACTGTGCACCACATGAAGTCGCTCAACAATTGCTCCACATTAACTGATCTCCACTTAGAATGGTCCCTGTAGTTAACACTACAAGCCTATGTTAAGTAAAATATTTTGCTTATGTTCTGTTCCAGTATTTTTTCAAGTCATTTCTTTAATATGTGTGTTGATGTGCAGTGTGCTTCGTTTTAAATAAGCAATTATGACTTGAATTTCTCCCAGATGGAGTTAGCAAAACATGTGTTTTTTCAAAAGGTTGTGCACTAATAGTTGCTTTTTGTTGTTGTTGTTGTATGGGCAGAATGAATTGCCTTTTGTTGTGTGAGTTTTCTCATTTCCCACCTTCTGTGATGGTTTAAAAAAAAAATCTAGTCTTGTTTTTATATTGCCCTACAAGCCCCATTATACCATACACTTGATAATCTCTGAGTTATTTTGTTTAAAAGTTTTGTTCCTCACCACTTTGTAAGCATATTATATAAAAATAATGTAATAAATATGTATGTGCAATTGACATTTAGGACACAGATGCTGTCTGAATGTAACGGGACCCTTAGACAATGTAGAGAATTATAATACTTACTTATTTAGTGGCTCCTCTTCTACCTTGGGGTGTAGAGGTTTGCCAGAAAGAACACCAGACGTCTCTATCAGCAGTTTTCTTTCTGGCTTTGTTCCATTCCAGTCCTCTGTCAGGGACTGTCAAATATTGTCTTCCCAGCGCACCCTGGGTCGCCCAGGCAGTCTGGTTTCCTGGTTCTTAGCCTCCCATGCCTGCCATGGTGGCCGTTTTTCTACCATTCTGCAAACATGTCCAAACCATCGTAACT